TTTTTTTTTTTTTTAAAGATTTTATTTATTTGAGAGAGAGAGATAGCGAGAGATAGAGCATGAGCAGGGGAGTCACACGGGGCTCGATCCTAGTACACCGGGATCATGACCTGAGCCAAAGGCAGATGCTTACTGACTGAACCACCCAGGCGCTGCTGTATATACTTTTATATACATAAAAAGTTATGTATCTGATATGTAGTAAGCATGTATATATATATATATATATATATATGTATTATACTATTTTTAAATAAGGTCTTGGGGTCTCAAGGACTACCTCATTCCTTTAAAAAAAAATCCATTGGTTTTAAAAACCAGTCTTTTTTGGGGTGACTGGGTGGCTCAGTCGTTAAGCATCTGCCTTCGGCTCAGGTCATGATCCCAGGGTCCTGGGATCGAGTCTCGTGTTGGGCTCCCTGCTCATCAGGGAGTCTGCTTCTCCCTCTCCCTCTGATGCTCCCCCTGCTTGTGTGTGCTCTCTGTCAAATAAATAAATAAAATCTTAAAAACAAAAATCAGTCTTTTTCTTTTCTTGATTGCAAACATGATACACTTACAAAAAATGCAAACATTACAGCAGTGCATAAGATAAAATGTGGAAGACCCTAAAATTGCCCTTCACTGAGATAAACAATCACTGTGCTTATTCTTCCCACTTTTCTGTACAGAGTGCTTGCATGATCGGTGTTGGGTTCATAGACATGGGGCCATCGGCACCACTCTGCAGCACTCACCCGCGCTCTCCGGACTCTCTGTTTTACTTGGTAGTATGTCTTGGTGGCTTTCCCTGTGAGTACAGGTCTGCATCGTCCTCTTTATGAGCCATATGATGATTTGCCATCATTTATTTAACTATTTCCATGTCAATGGAGATTTTACTTGCTTTCAGTTTTTGGCCATTTGTAAACAGTGCTTCAGTGAACACTCTTCATGTCTTTGGCACACTTGTATGTTTCTCTAGGATAAATTTGTATAAGTTGCAGTACAGATTCAGGATGTATAAACATCACATATTTTACAGATATTGCCAGATTGTCCTTCAAAGAAGTTGTAACAGTTTATACTAATCACCAAGCCGTGAGAGTACTTCCTTTTTTAGCACCCTCATCTACACAGGTTATTAACTATCTTAATCTTTGCCATTCTAATGAACAATAACTATTTCATTGTTTGAATCTACTTTGTTAGATTATTTGTGAAGTCTGTTTGTTTTTTTTGTATTTAATTTTCTCTGACTTGCTTGTTTGTATCCTTTGCTGGTTTTCTTCTTGGCATGTTGGGGAAGGCTGCTTTTAAAATTCTTTTTCTTTCATGTGGTTATAATGAATCCTGTTTACCTTTGAATAAAAAGTATACTTAATATATCTGCAGGATATTGACAATGAAAAGAATGTCCTTTAGGTTTTACATCACATTAATTTTTTTTTATATAGGAACTTATAAACCTCGGGTTCGATGTTATGACACCTATCAGTTATCCTTGAAGTTTGAAAGGTGTTTAGATTCAGAGGGTAAGTAAGAGATGAAATTTGAATTCATGAAAGTAGCTTTTTATATGTGGCTACTTTTCTGCTTTTTAAAAATGGGAATGTGTCATGTATAAGTTCTCTTTGCTGTGTAACAAATTACCATGAATGTGGCAGCTTAAAACATGCATTTATTAGCTGACAGCTTTGTAGGTGAATTCATCCAGGCTTTGCTGTTTTCTGTGCTCAGGGCTGACTCGCCTAGAGTTTATTCGGGGGCTCTGGGCAAGAATCAGCTTCGAAGCTTTCTTTTCTTTCTTTCTTTTTTTTTTTTTTTAAAGATTTTATTTATTTGACAGAGAAACAGCAAGAGAGGGAACACAAGCAGAGGGAGTGGGAGAGGGAGAAGCAGGCTTCCCATGGAGCAGGGAGCCCGATGTGGGGCTCGATCCCAGAACCCTGGGATCATGACTTGAGCCGAAGGCAGGCACTTAACGACTGAGCCACCCAGGCGCCCCAGCTTCGAAGCTTTCTGGGTGTTGGCAGAATGCAGTTTGTTGTGCTTGTGGGACTGGGGTTCCTGTTTCCTGCTAGCTGTCAGCCTGGGGCCACTCTCAGCTTCTGGAGGCTGCCTGCACTCCTTGTCACCTGGTCTTCTCCATCTGTAAGCCAGCACCTACTCACTGGGTCTTTCTCCTGCTTCGAATCTCCCACTTCCCCTTCTGCCACCAGCAGGAGAAAACCCTGATTTTAAAGGGCTCACGTGATTATAGATCTCTCTTCCCCATCTAATGTGATGTAGTTATAGGTGTGTCCCACCAGCATTCATAGGCTCCGCCCACTCTGCAGGGAAGGGCGGGGAGGGTGGAGGTATTTCTGTCAGGTGCCTGGGTGTTTGGGCTTGAGAGAAAAGCAGTTAATGGCTAAGTCTTCTCCAACTGGTTTTACCCTTTCCTTT